CCCTTTTACGTCATTATACTAAAATCATGTTGAATTCTCTGGGGTCAATTTTAATCTCAACATTCTTTTCAATATCATCTACTTCCTTACCTTTATCCTTAGTATATAAGAATAACACTCAAGTTAATAAGGAGTAACATTAATCACCCTCTAATTGACACCATATCAGTAACTTTGACAATCTTAATGGTATGTAATCCTTTTACATTAAAATACATTCGATTTCGGTCGAGAATCGACTAAACCTTAGCTCTGATACCAATAAATATAACATCCATATCTCGTATACCTTTCCGTACATGAGATACAGAGGTCACATCACTTTATAAAACTTTTTGCATTTAAAACCCCGTAAACAATTGTTGCAATTTGATCAAATATAAAATATGATATTTATAAAAGAAACATACTAAAATTATCACTTAAATACACTTCAAAATATTCACTACAATTTAATTACAAGCCGACTATGTTCTCGAAATGAATAAGATTTTCATAATGCTACTGATGAGTCAATCTTTAATTGATGAAAGCTGCTACTACTGCTACACTCGTTACACAACTAATCTTTGATTTTACCTATACGTGAAATAAACACACATTAAGTATTTACTTAATGAGACATAATATTGTAAGGATATTACAATTATACGATAATATCTTATAAATACTGAATGGATAATTTAATTTCATCATTCATAGGGACCAGTTAATCCATTCTCAGTTAAACCATAATTCTTTCATACCATCATGGAAATTATTCTTAGTATTCCATCATACTTATCCTTCTGTATATTTTCCCCTTTATTCTTTATTTGCCCTGTGTACATTAAATGAGTAATTACTATACATGCATTGCACCAAAGTGCTAATTGATGATGTATCTTTTATAATCATCATGGGTGGCACCTTACATACTGTTAACACACCATTTTGTATTTTCATTTTGGGACATCCTTTCATGCCCATTATGTACTGTTTACGTTTTTCCTTTATGACATTCATCTTACAATTATGCATTAATGTACATTTTTTGTATACATATATATATATATATATATATATATATATATATATATATATATATATATATATCATCCTTTTATACCACTTATGCACCAATTATATAAAAAATGCATTATAATTCCTTTAGTCTTTTACTTTAAAACAAATCCTACTCTAATAATTAGACATATTATCAATTAACTATTTAATTTCATTATAGATTCTATACTTTGCACCTGTAGTGCCAAAGCAGTCATTCCCCAAACATTTCTATAATTTACATGGGTTGTACACCCACTACCAATACAAAAATTCATAAACTTATTATGAATTTCTTAGTTTTTTTTTTAAATAATTCGCATCATCTATAAGGATTAAATAAGTACCTATTATTGAAACCAAACTCTTTTTATAATTCTCATCATAAACATCCTTAGTATGTCCAACATACATTTCTTTCATATACATTTTTCTTTTAATTTTTTTGTATTAATTATTCGTTAAATTTCATTTTATTTATGGCATCATTTCATGCCTTAATGCATTATTTCATGCCAATAATGTACCCATATGCATTATTCTTTTATGTCGATAATGCACCCATATGCATTTCAGCTATGACATCTTTTCATGCCAATAATGCACCCATATGAATTATTCTTTTATGCCGATAGTGCACCCATATGCATTTCAGCTATGGCATCCTTTCATGCCAATAATGCACCCATATGCATTATTCTTTTATGCCCATACTGCACCCATATGCATTTCAGCTATGGCATCCTTTCATGCCAATAATGCACCCATATGCATTATTCTTTTATGCCAATAATACACCCTTATGCATTTCAGTTATGGCATCCTCTCATGCCAATAAATTACCCATATGCATTATTATTTTATTCATTTGTTCTAGAGTAGTTCATTCTCTAAAACTCATTCATAATACTCTTTCCATACATATAATAAATAACATAGTCAATACTATAGAACATAAATTAATTTAAACGTTTTAAGTTGAATCAGTATAAATCTTCTTCATCTCAAATAATTACAATAATGTACTCACCTTACTTTCCTCGCTATGTAAAAAAAATTGCAAAGCTGATCACTCTGGTACTTTGCCTTTGTCTTTAGTTTTGCTTGACTCGGGAGCTTGGTTCTGATCTACTCAAGTACCCATTAAAACATGTACTATACCCAATGTTAGTATATTTCCTAACCATTATAATTAAACCATACTCAAAGGGACATATCATTAACTTTATATACCAATATTAGCCTATTTTTAAAATTTATGGCTCTATAGTATCGATATTACTACCCTGGTACAAGTACTTCTATACTATGGTATCGATACCCCCTGACAGCATCGATACCAATTTTAGGTTCGATGTTACCTGGTATCGATATCCTCACCATGGTATCGATACTACCATACTATGGTACCGATACCCCCTTCCGATACCGATACCAATTTTAGCTTCGATGATGTTTGGTATCGATACCCTTACCATGGTATCAATACTACCTTGTCGGTATCAATACTGATTGAATCAGTATCGATACTACTTAGCTAATTCATCCCATTTTAGCTTATAGTATCGGTACTGATCTATCAGGTTCGATACCCTTGCCCAGATTTTCCAGTTTTTAACATGATTATTAGCCAAATGGGGCCTAATTTCTTTATATTTACACACAATAATGCTATTTAACTCTTCTCTACTTATCCATACTAACTTTCCTTCATTTAATTACTTAAAACTTCTAGTATCTCTCAAGAGCATTTGATTATAAGAATCCCACCAAAATCTCTAGCTTGTTTTTACACTAATCCGATGCTTCTAATCTTTCATTTGCCTCTATGACAAGTCAATTCTACCAATAAACCTCAATAAACACTCATATTTTAACATATCATTTCAAAACCCATTTTCTTAATTCTCTATTATTTCTTCCATCTCATAATTTTAATCATATATAACTTTTCCTTAAGCTTATATATCACTTAAGGTTACAAGAACTACCCATAATCGAAATGAAAAACTGATTAATTGAAGTTTACCTTTGGAGCTATGGAGGAGAGCAAAACCCACGGGAAAGAACAAAGAAAAAGAATAAATAACTTCTTTGACCTATTTTCCCCTTTTAATTAAATCCCTAGAATTTAAATAGGTTTTAAATTCATTTCACTTAAAAAGACCAAAATGCCCTTTCATTAATCCATCTCTTACACATTGGTCTTACTTAAGTCATTTCTTATACTTTACCTTTTATTCAATATAGTGTACCAAAATTTTAATTCCTTTCAAATTAGTTATTGACTTACTACTTGGGGTATTATAGTGATTTATCATGATCATATAGTATTCAGACATTTTTCATAGGCACTATGAAATCAGAAAGGTATTCAGAATCCTTTGCATCCGAGTTACTTGTGTTTTCAAATATAATAGGAGTGATTCCATTATTCATGAAATTATAGGCGTTTTGGGAATTAGGTGCTTGGAGAGTTCTTAGTGATTTGAGATGATAAGGGAGAAACAAAGATTCAGGGCATTTACGATTTGTGTTGATCAATCGGAACATTGAGTTAACTTGAACTGTACAAATCCCAACCATGATACCTGACAACCGATCAAATCATTGCATTTTAAGAGTATTCACTCTTTATTACATGTAACTCTTGTCAAATAATCATCTTCTGAATCATCACTGAATGGATCTTAAGGAGACGAACATATATTCCAATAGTCTTTATTTCATTTCTACATTGCAACAATATCAGGAAATGTCAACGTGCTTGATCTGGGGTTCAAAACTCTCATGGACGGTACAATATATATATAATCATCGGTGTTTCCATACTTATCCAAATTATTCACTTAATTCAAGGTCATTGAGGGTACTTAGGTCATTTAATAGCAAGTCTATCTCGATTACTTCAGAGTTTTCCAGATTAATTCGATCATTTTTGAAATTTGGATACATATAGTTTATCCATTCAGTTCAACTAGGTTATATAATTTAGTGATTCCAGAGCTTAGAGATTTTTTGGATTATTTTACTCTTCAGGGGTATTTTATTCATTTTGCGATTTAAGGGTATTTCAATTCTTTCCTTCAGTCAGGTATTTCCATTTAATAAAATTTGTCTGAACAAGGCAAACATAAATAATACTTCCGATGTTTTAGCCTTTAGGTATTTGCTGAAAAATATATAATTCTAGGTATTGTACCTTCTTAGATGTAAAATCTGATTATCAATGACTTTCCGAACAGATCAGGAATTTAACAGGTGAATCAGTAGTTTATCGGATTAAATAAGAATTCTCACAGTACTTTCACTGCGAGGGTCAATCCGGACGATTTTACCTCTTGGGTAATTTCATAATTTCTTAACCAGGTTATTTCAGTATTAAAGCTTTTAACAAGAACAAATAGAATTTAGAGAGTCTGTGGTTATTTTCTTTTCCAGATAATCACTGAGCTTGAAATCATTTCTTATCAGTCTTCTTGTGTCTATGCATGTAGTTCGAGCCTTATTCAGTTTACTTTACTTTATTTCACGCTCAGATCGAGTTTAGAAAATGATTAACTATATACATGTGACCAATTATATTCATCCATGTAGTAATCAATACCAATATGTTCCATAAAGCATGAAAAAGGCAGTAATGTATTACCTCGATTTTTGTGCCCCACCGATCGAATAATTAAATGAATTCAACATCCAATAATTCCTCAAATACATAGCAATAGAATTTACGTCAGAAACTGAACTTAATTGAGAAACCATATTGAATCTGAAGGTAAATCTCTGAAACACGGTTTATCAGGTGCGAATTTGGCAAAACAGACTTCGGATTCGGACTCATGACGTCGAAAAACATAAAATAAGACTTTTTTAAAAAATTAACTTTTTCAGTCAAAGTTAATAGTCAACGGACAGACCGGTCAAAATCAACGATCAATAGGTTGACTCGGTCAAAGTTAACGAGTTAACTCAGTGAGTTGAATCAGTGATTGGACCAGACCAGGCGGGTCGGGTTGAGTGGTTCGGTTCGGTCTAGACCAATTGGACCGGTCCAGAAGCTTCCAGGGCAGGGGAAGAAGTCCACGCGTACTACCAACGTATGGCAGCGTGTGCGGTGGTGATGGAGGTCTGGTTGGTTGGTCGAGTAGTCCACAAGCATCTATACATCATTATCAATCCAAACCAACTCAAAAATCAGCCAAAACATGACATTTTAACCGGAAAATGCTCAAACTTACCCTCCCAACGACGGATGACGACTATGACAGCTCTGGTCGGGTTCTGGTTGGAATTGTTTGGGAACACCATGCTGGAGATGGTGAGGTGGAACGATCACCGGATTGGTCGAAATCACGAAATAATCGAGACGCGTAGGGGTGGTTTCGTCGAACTCTTTGATGGCTCTTCACGTTGAACGATGGTGGTTTTCGATAGTATAGGGGTTTGGTTTTGATCATCGTTCGAAGGTTAATCTATTGGTGGTGTCAGAGCGACGAAAGGTGGTCAGACAACGACGGATTGAGACTGTAAAGATGTGCTGGCGGGAAGGAATTTTGGGGTTTAATCGATTAGGTTAAATTTATTTTTCACTGATTATAAAAATGATAAAATTTGAGTTCAAGACCCTAAAATTTCTTAAGGTTTTAAAACAGAGCTACAACTTTTAGAAATTTCCAATTTGGTCCCCAACTTTTCCCTTGTTACTACTTTAATTTGATACTTTATATTAATAAATTTTTGCCCCTGAATTGGGGTGTGACATGGACACCTCAACTTAACCATTTGTTTGAGGATACTATATTGTATCAATGCGATGTTTGACTCCATAACGTTGTAGTGCATTAACTACTTGTCTACCAAAGAATTGGGAACCTTTATCACTAATGAATACTCTTGGTGTTCCAAAGCGAGTTAAAATATTCTTGTGTATGAATTGAAGAACTACTTTAGCATTACTTGAGGGTAATGCTACAACCTTAACCCACTTAGACACATAATCAACATAAAAAAGAATGAAAGTGTTGCCATAAGAAGATGGATAAGGCCCCATGAAATCTAGTCCCCAAAGATCAAATAATTCAATTTCCAATATAGGTTACATTGACATTTCATTACGTCGAGAAATGCTTCTAGTTCTTTGGCATCAATCACACTGCTGTACGAAAGCATTAACATCCTTGAATAGTGAAGGCCAATAATAACCACATGGAGGACTTTTGCTACTGTACACATACATCAAAAATATCTTCCATAAGGTATGATGTGGTAATGCTGTAAGATGTTATGATGTTCACTTTTGAGAACACACCTCCTCAAAAGTTGGTTATTACATTGCTTAAAAAGATAATGTTCTTCCCAAAAATATCCTTTGAAATCTCTTATAAAATTTATTTAAACCTTGTGATTAAGGTCTGCTGGCAGCATACCACTAACTAAATAATTTACAAAGTCTACATACCATGGTAGAGCATTGATGGCCAACAATCATTCATTGGGAAAGGAATTCGGTATCACAAGTGCCTTGCTATCTTCACTTTCGGATTCCAAACGGGACAAATGGTTAGCCACTTGGTTCTCAGTCCTTTTCTTATCTCGGACTTTAACGTCAAATTCTTGAATTAATAGCACCCAATGAATCAATCTCGATTTGGTGTCCTTAGCAAACAAATGCTTCAACGTCGAGTGGTCGGTATAGATTATCACCTTGGTTCAAGCCAAGTATGGTCAAACTTTGTCAAAACAAAACACTACAACAAGCAATTCCTTTTTAGTTGTGGTTTAATTTACCTGAGCATCGTTTAATGTCCTGTTAGCATAATGAATATCATGAAAGACTCACTCCTTGCATTGACCTAACACTACTCCAACAACAAAGTCGCTAGCATCATACATCAATTCAAATAGTAAACCAAATTTGGTGTTACGACAATAGGGGCATTGACCATCTTAAATTTTATGGTCTCAAAAGATTTAAGAACTTCAGCATCAACTAAGAATTTCTTTTTTTTTCTCCAAGAATGAGCACAACAATTTTGAAATTTGTGAGAAATACTTAATGAATCTGCAATAAAAGCTCTCATACCCTAGAAATCTTTTTATGGTCAATGACTTCTACCTTGACCTTGTCCACTTCAATGCCATGTTGAGAAATGTGATACCCAAGCACTATGCATTCGGTTACCATGAAATGACACTTTTTCCAATTTAACACAAGGTTGGTCTCTTCACATCTCTTCAAAACAATATCCAAGTTAGTAAGGCATTATTTAAAATCTTGCCCAAAGATAGAAAAATTATCCATGAAAATCTCTAAGCAATCTTCAATCATATCGGAGAATATGGCCATCATGCAGTGTAAAAATGTTACTAGAGCATTGCACGACCTGAACATCATTCTTCTAAAATAAAAAGTTCCATTGGGACATGTGAAGGTTGTCTTACCTTGATCTTCAGGAGATATATCAATCTGGTTGTAGCTGCTATACCCATCAAGGAAGTAATAAAAAGCCTTTCTAGCAAGTCTGTCAAGCGTTTGATCAATAAATGGTAGCAGAAAGTGATACTTGTTTGTAGCTTTATTCAGCTTACGATACTCCATGCAAATTCTCCAGCACGTGGTTTTTCGTGTATGAACCAACTCATTCTTCTCGTTTGCTACCACAGTTATTCCTCCTTTCTTAGGGACACATTGCATGGGATTCACCCAATTGCCGTAAGAAATAGGGTATATAATCCCAACATCCAACCATTTGATGACTTTTTTGCGAACTAATTCCTTTATAATTGGATTCAACTCTCTTTGCTGTTGAATATAACTACTATTCGGATCCTCTAAAAAATTTATGCATACAAAATACTAGACTAATCCCCTTGATATCAGCAATGCTCCACTCAATTGCTTTCTTATGTTACTTCAGCATAGAAATCCTACTGTCAGTTTACGAAGTTGTAAGCTTCGTTGTAACAATGACTGGTAGAGTATCATTTTCTTCAAGAAAGACTTATCTTAAATGCTCAAGCAAGGGTTTGATCTCATGCTTAGGTTATTCTTCTATGGATGTCTTTGTTGCTTGAATAGGTCGATCAGGAAAGTCTAATGACTCAAAGTGTTGCATGAAATTTCCTTCCTCATTGTCCTGAATTTCTTCAACTGCTAATGCATTTGCTGTAGCAACTTCCATTCTATAGCTTTAATCTAAATGCTCCTGCACATAAACATCAAAAGCATCAATACTATTACACTCAACAGTATCATCTATATAAGAAACATTTTTAAGACATTGAAAGTAATGTATTCATCATTTAAGCGCATAATGAATTCTACCTTTACAACATCGATTAATGCTCTTCTTGTAGCAAGGAATGGTCTTCGAAGGATAATTAGAACTTGTTTGTCAGCTTCATAGTCGAGGATAATAAAACCAGTATGGAATATACACTTATCCACTCGAACCAGCATATTCTCCCCTATTCCACTTAGATGCATGATTGATTAGTCGGCAAGCTATAGCATCACAATTATCGAACCTTGCATCTCCACTTCCAAACTTCCTAAAAATAGGCAGGGCATCAAGTTAATGTTGGCACCTAAGTCGCATAATGCTTTACCAATAAACTAGTCATAAATGTTACAGGGAATAGTAAAGCTCCTTGGGTCTTTTAGCATTGGCGATAGTCTATTTGTGGCCATTGAACTGCAGCCTTCAGTCAGTTCAATAGTTTCGAACTCGCCCAACCTCCTCTTCTTGGATAATATTTCAGGAATGAATTTGATGTAGTTAGGGTTTTGATCCAAAGTATCTATTAATGGAATGTTAATGGTTAATTAGTGAATTACATCAAAGAACACTTTTAATTGTTGGTCCTCATTGGTCTTCTTGAAATGTTGAGGAAATAGAGGAGGAGGTCTTGGAGTTGATTGATTCTAGGTTTGATGTGGCATCATGGGTTTGACAGGAGGCACTGGTTGAGGTGATGCTGCATGCATTGCTCCTGAATTGCTGCTTTGTCCAGTATCCTTGGCTATACCATATGTCATAGATACGTCTTGTGCTACTTTCTTATCCTTGGTTTGATGTTCATCATCTTTCTTCTTGTTTTCAACAGAAGGTCTCCTAATATGGATTCCACTTCTAGTTGTCATCGCTTTGTAATGTTCATTACAATGATCCTTCCTATAAGCTTTAGTGACTTCGGTATCATTGGGCAGCGTCCCTAGTTGCCTATTGTTTAAAGCTTGGCTAGTTGACCAATTTGGTTCTCCAGCACTCTTAATCATGCTGATTGGCTCTCCAAGTATTCATTCATCAATACTTGAAGAGATGACATGGTAGTGGCTTGATTGGAATTCTTCCCTTAATAATTATACCTTTGCTGAGGTTGTGTTGCTTGTTGATCCTGCGGCATCATCGGTTATTGATTGTAATGTTGTTGTTGATTGGGAAATTAGATTGTACAACATTTGGATTGACAACATTTTGACTCCTCCAAGATAAATTGGGGTGGTTGCGGTAGTTGCATTGTATGTATTCCCATATGTGTTAGCATTATCTTCCCTATTGAAATTTCTCACAAAACAAATAGACTTGGGGTTTTGTGGAAATTCTTCATAAATAAGCATCTCCACAATAAACACAAGAAGGGGTAGAAACATTTTTTTACCTCATACATGCCACCCTACCTTTGCAATTTCTTTACCATATCCATTAATGTTGTAATTTGAGATGCCATTGAGTTCACCGCGTCAATGTCTAGTGCTACAGCATTGTGTCTGCCGAACATGTTCCTTATATTAGGGCATTGATAGTTGTTTTGGCCCAAGTTCATAAATTATCATCTTCAATTTTCTTTAATGAGGTAAGGCTATTCCTCAGCTTCACATTCATATTAGAAGGATTGAAATGCAACATAAATTTTTGTGCAAGTTCATTCCAGGATGCTATAGCACTAGGCGGTAGCAAATTGAGTCATGCTCTAGCTCTGTCACGCAACGAATATGGAAACAATTTCAACTTCAGTGCCTCTTTAGGGACTCCTTGCTGAACAAATGAATCACACACCTCTATGAATGCTCTAAGATATGCTCTTGGATCTTCAGTAAAGGATCCACTATACTGCTCCATAGACTGCATCATTTGGAACATCACCAGTTTTAACTCAAAATTAGCGGATTGAATGGTTGGTCGCACTATTCAGGATGTAGGTCATCTAATGTCAGAATGATATGCTCCCTAATAAGTCGATTATGATCGTCCATATTGAAATAATGTTGCTGCTCAGTTCCGATGTCGTGCGAGATTTATCCTTTATGTTGTAGGGGTAGTAGGGCCTTGTGACCTTAATGTTGGTCATCCATTTGAATTTGGTGTTGGTTAGCTTTTTGTTGATGGTGTCTAAAGGTTTTCTCGGTCTCATGATAAAAAGTACTAAGTCGTCCCTATCAAACATGAAAAAAGAAAACAGCTGCAAGAAAAAAAGAAAGAGATAGTAAACTAAAACAAAACTCAAAAGTAAACAGTTTCTCCTCGGCAACGACGCCAAGAACTTGATGCTCTTAAAAATTCTATAGCAATCATGCAAGTATACGTATAGTCATCAAGTAATAAGGTGTAAATCCTTTTGGGATTTCGAATGTTGAACACACAAAGAGCATAAAGTTTACGATTGACTTAATGAAATAAAAGTTGGATGAATTGACTTATAAATGAAACAAGTATTAAAATAGAAAAAAATAATGGAATAGAGGCAAGGTCATACTATAGCACTAGGAACAATAGTGATTCAAAAATCAAATAGAATGGGATATTAAAAGGGATTCATTGTTTAATTCATGCAATTAATTTAACTACAATGTATTAAACATTAATTACTATTAATAGATTAATATGAAATAGCTCTCACTAATGCAAAAAATCGCATAGTAATGATGTTAAACATTTGGCAACATACATCTCAGCATGCATTTGCTTCTCACAATACCAAAGCCACGAAATTAGCATACAAGTCATTCAATTTATCTATAAATAAAATAACAGTATACTTAAATAATGAAATCTCTTTCATCATTCAAAAAGCATAAGGCACAAGGTAGCAAATTAAATAGTATTCATAAAAACGAGGGTTCCTCCCAAAAGAAAAAATTTAGAACATTCAATCACAAATATATAAACTTAACTATCTATACTTCTATATCTCAGGCAAAGCCTAAGTAGCTGAAGTGATCTTGCTGACAGTCGATGCTACTCAGCGAAGATTGGTCTTCAAATGTTACAGCACTCCCCAGTTGGGCGGCTTAGGCAACCATGGAAAAGAGACGAGAGATTTTATGTAGAAGCTGATAGAATGAAGAATTGATGATTAAATGAGCTAAGGAGGGTCCTATTTATAGGTGGAGGAGGCCAAAATTATCTCTAATGAAGCTTCTCTACGTAGAAGCAACTGATTAGAGAGGATACAATTGTCCCATCCAACTGTCCCTATTCTAGAAGGTTATGCCCAACCTAGTGAGTCATCGGCTGCTGTTGCATTTTCTTCAGCGCTGTAGCATTTACACATTTTTTAGCAGAAAAATTCAGAAATTAGCCCAAGTTAAATATCACATATTTGCTAATAACTACCTTTTTAGTTTCATGACATCACAACTTATAGCCCTTTACTATTGATTTATATCTTATAAAGATACACTTTATGGATCTAGGCTCCAATTTACCATTGTCTACATGATCATACGTAGGACAACCAAATATTTTCAAATCCGAATAATCTACAGGTTTTCCAGACCATACCTCTTGTAGAGTCTTTTTGTCAATGACCATGAACAGAGACATATTAATCATAAAACACAATAGCAAAGCCGCTTCAGCCCAAAACAACTTCAATAGACCAGAATTGGAGAGCATACAACGAACACTCTCTTTTATTATTTTATTCATCCGCTCAATAATGTTATTTTGTTGTGACATATGACAAACCTTCAAGTTTCTCACTATCCCTTCTTCTTTGTACAACTCATTAAATTCATCAAAAAACTCTAAACCATTATTAGTGTGAAGGCGTTTAAATTACATTTCAGTGTGTTTCTTAATTATTATCTTACAGCTCTTGAATGTGGCCATCACGTCACTCTTTTTCTTCAAGAAGAACAACTAAAACTTTCAGAAATAGTCATCAATGATTGTTAGCATGTAGTTTGTTCATCCATAAGATGATACTCTAGAAGATCCCCATAGGTCAAAATGAATGTAGTCTAATGTACCCTTTGTGTTGTAAATTCCTTTGATAAATCAAACTCTCATTGTTTTTCGAACACATAGTGTTCGCAAAATGGTAGCTTGAAGATTCTTTCACCATTAAAGAGACCCTTTTTGCTCAACTCTATCATGTCAAGTTTACTAATATCCCCCAAGCGCATATGCCAAAGCTTGGTTACAACTTCCTCTTATATTACAGACAATGCAACAACAACATCGCCAATAACCGTATACCCCTAGAGGGCGTACAACCTTCAATTCTTTTTCTATGTCTTCATCACACAAGCGAACCCTCGCTAACCTTTAATTCTCCACCTTTAACGGAGTACTTATACCCTTTTGAGTCAAGGATACTTAGCAAGATCATATTACGCTTCAAATTAGGAACATGACAAACATCACTCATCGTTCTAACAATTCCATCATACATCTTAACTTTGACACT